TCTATTGAAGTCATCTAAATTGCCAACTTACACTTGACCAGAATGCCAGAGAAAGCGCAGTACATGATGAACATGATGGTGTAGAAGACATAACGAAAGTTGTTTAGAGAATTGCTGGCGTCGTTGCCGATGCCATAGTACAGAAAGCCAATTAGCAGTCCGATGATCAGGTGGATGGCGAAACGCATCGTGGTCAACGAACTGTCCCGCCAGAGGAGCAAAAATGTGCGCAACAGCAGTATGTTCAATTGTCGATAAAAGGGCGTGGCATAGATATTCTCGCGTTTGCACAGATGGGCCGGATCCAGCTCCAATGTGGGCATCGACATGGTCGGCTTTGCTTTCTTTTTCTTCGGCTTACAGCAATTGGCGTCGCTTTTGCTGCCCGCCACATCCTCGTTCATCGTTTGACTATCCCAGACGCGCGACGACATCTCATTGATGGTCGTCATTGGCTTAAAGCTGATTGACTGCCGATTATAATTGGGCCCAGTATTCATAATGGGCGCTGTGACAGGCGTGAGCAAGCCAGAGGACATCATTTGCTCTGCAAGTAAGGATTTTATAAATTTAGTAGATGATTTTGTTTTTGAGATTTATTTATCAATTTCGATAGCTTACCAACTTTGAGCATTGCTGCCACCTGTGCCACATGCATTGTTTTGCTTTGTCTATAATCGTCGTTGCGTCCATTGTCCATGAGTGCTATCAGTCTGTTCACCTGCTGCTCGCCATCCTCATCATAGTCATGCGTCGCTATTTCCATTACTTTGGTAAATGAAGACAGTTTGAAGAATATATTAAGAGATTCACTTTAACAAGATTTTAAGGTTTTAGTAACTTATAGAATAACTTGAGGATAAGCCTATATGTTAACCGAAAAAATATGAAATTTAATTTAATGTACAATACATCAACTAAACAGCGAAGAACTAAGTCTTAACAGGTAGATAAACGATAATCAGTATACGACTTATTTGACAACAAGCGCATAGCTAAAACTTAATCTCAGCAAATTCACTAGTCTCTCGTATCTTATTATTAAGTTATCTCAAGCCATTGTCTACTTAAACTTACAATAATCCACCGGATTATATGACTCCGGGCAGCGCAGATTGGCAGCACTTAGAAATGGCACCAGATTCTGTGGACCGCCTGCGAAAATGCACTGACCCTCGGCAATCGCATAGAGATGATCGAACATGGAGAAGGTTAAGGCGCTGGGCTGATGAATAGTAAAGATGACATTGCGACCCTCCACGGCCAGCTTTTTGAGCAGCGTTATCAGCTGATTGCATGTTGAGCTGTCTAGACCCCTAAGAGTTACAGATAAGAATAAATGAATTTCAATTTTTTCCATGTGGGATTGACTACATACGAGGTGGGCTCATCCAGCACTAGCACCGGCGGATTATTGACCAGCTCCAGGGCAATGGCCAAGCGCTTGCGTTGCCCCCCGCTCAGGTTGCCCGTGTGCGTATTTCGGCTCTCGTACATGCCAATGGCCACGAGGATGCTGAGCACGCGCTCCTTCTTAGCCGCTGGCGACATGTGGGTGCCAATCTTTAGGTTCGCTGCAAAGTGCATGGCCTCCTTGACGCTCAGGAAAGACTGCAGCGATGTGTCCTGCGTGATGAATGCTACATTTGGCTTGAACGCCTTCAAGTCTCGTGGTTTGCCATTGATGCGAAAATCACCCGTATAGCCAGCGTAACTGCAGGGATTGTGAACGAAAATATATAAGTTAGTAATAGAAACAGGTTTAAGGTGCGGGGTTACATTACGTATATCCTGAGAGTAGGTTTAATAGCGTGCTCTTGCCAGCGCCCGAAGGTCCGGCAATGGCATTCAGTTCGCCGGAACGAAAGTAACCCGATAAGCCCTTCAGTATGTCTTTGTTTTCTGCAATGGTGAAGATGGAAATTGAATGAATATATTGTAGTTAAATAAAAAACAAAATAACAAAAAAATAAATAGATAAATAAAAGGATAATATTAAATGTATACAATGTATATCTTCAATCCCCAATATTCTACAATATATCTCAGACTTGGAGATCAACTTTTACTTTCTCCATTTCTCGCTTACGCATTTCCAAGTCATTTATCTTTATTTCTTATTTCCCCAATTAATAAATATATATATAGGCTCTTATGGCTGCCCTTTTCAGCTTATTCCCGCCATTAGGACGTATCTATTATAGACCCGAGTACATTTTCAATAGGCATCGGGTGTACAAAGTACATTAAATATTCAAGATATGCCAGTTACTCAGACGTAACTCAATTAATAGCTGTTCGACGAGTATTCATTGATTTTACACATAATTAGGGTTACGAGTGTGTGTGTGAGAGAGAGATATACATATATAAATACATATATTGGAATATAATATAGCCACTGTGCCCAGTCACAATTGGCAGCTGATAAGGGGAACCCATTAGCTGCGTTCCATGAGCGCTAATCGCCTTTGCAATGATAATGTCATAAAATATAGAAACTTTTTTTATTGTGTGTGTTTATTACAATTTGTAGTTAGTGACATTTGGAGGTTTCGCTTTGTGTAAGGTTTAAAGTTGTTTCTTTTGTTTTTTATTGTACATCATAGACGATTCTTAGTGGTATCGAAGATAATCTATCGATTAGCTTGGCTATGTGAGCTATTCCTAATCGGCCAGAGACTCGCACTTGTCTTATCAGAAGTGGTTTTGGGTTGGGACTCGAATCAAATCTTATCGCGATACGCGACTTTACGAGCAGCGCCACAACAGATGGTTGACTTTTTATTCCATCCAGATGTTGCGGCCGAAGGGTCTTTGCCAACACACCTGCTGAGTGCAGTCATAAACTCTTCAGCAGGAAGAGCCCATATGTTCTGACATGGCCTTGAGATTGACATTGCATTCGCAATGGCTATATGGAAAAAGTATCGGTCGGTAGACGATTACAGCACGAGTCTTGCGCCTCGTGCCTGTCATCTGATATCATTTTTTTCTAGTCTAAACTTGCACTCACTCAAATACTGTATGGGTAGGCATATATGTACATACGTAATGTATATAAATATATAAAGAGCTAATCTACTGTTGAACCCAACAATGAAGATTATTGAAACTCATTCAATATAAGGCCTGAGCCAGCTTATCGCTATACATAAGGCTTGGTAACGACATAGGTATGTCTTTTCAATTCGTATTAAGAACATTGAAAAGGTTACAAATACCTATATATAGCTTTATACACCTTTTATATACTGATATATAATCTATGTTTGAGTGCTTGAGATTAACATTGTTGCACGATTTGAATATATTTTAAAAAACATTTGAAAGGTTGAACTCAGAAAGACGACGTTGCGTATACTTAATTTAATTAAAATGAACTGGAAATATTAAAATTTTCAAGTGGAATTTACTTGCATTTCTGGAATAATAAAGTTTTATCAAAAATGGGAATCTATATAATGGCTTTGTATGAATAGAAGAAGCAGGCGAATCTGGACTTTGTTTCAAATTATTTCAATACTTCATTTTAAGATCTATTTATAAACTTAAACCCAAATTTTCTTAATTCCATTAATAATTCACTTTCTTTGATATTCTGGCACGCATCAACTGTCAACAATATCCGTAGAGAAACTCAGATTTAGTAATTAAAATAAAAACAAAGCGCACGCGATAAATATTTTTGTTAAAAATTAGAGCGAAACACAATACAACAACACAATGTATGACAAATGCGAGAGGGCAGCTTATATATATATAAGTATTTGGGTTTTGTTGTTCTATGCGCGAAACTGAAGCTGTCAAATGCCGCATTAGGAGGACTATAACAGGAAAACTCACTCAACACGATACGACAACAATAACAGAGAAAAATCAAATGCATGAAAAGAGAAGAAATAAACATGCATAATATTTAATGGAGCTTAAGTGATATCAATTAAAACGCGCCAGCGACCTTTATACATATATTATTCAAGATTTGTTGCCTAGTCAGCAAGCTATTATGTATGATTGTGGAATATCTATTCAAAAGCAGAATAGACTTTATGCTAAAGTATTACTTATTTACACATAATAAAAGGCAGTAACTTTGTGGAAATGTACGTAAGAGAGGACAGGAGGCGTGGCCAAAGTATATTATAGATAAGGTTGCCTTTATTTTGACTTAACTTTGTATGCGTATGGAAATACAGTAAATATCAATAATTTGTTATCTGATAATCCATCCATGCCCTTATTAACGATAATAGTCGATCATCGATACTATTACAGCTGGAGGTTTTTAATTTAATTTTTAGGTTTGTGTGAGTTTTTTAATACCTTTTTGCACATTCTCTAGACATTTTAAATACTATAGACTTATAAACTAGAGACCTTAGCAACTAGACCCATAAAGATTATCACGCGCTGAAAACTTTATTAAGGAAGTCCAATTAGAACAAAAGTTAATCATCAATTAATTAATAATTTCCCATAGTGAAGCGCAAGCTGGTCGCAACGTCAACTGCGACGTAGACAGAGCCCCTATTTATTTATGCGTTATGTTATATATACGTGTATGTATTCTTTGTTATATACATATGTACAAAAGAAGCTCTGCCCAGGGGCAGTTACTACAACTAAAATTTCAATATTTAGTATAATTTTTGGGTATCTTTAAGTCGAGCACCCCCAACTAAAGTATTATTATATTAATTTGTATACTATATATACACTGCAAACCTGTGTTTTACGAGACTCCCCACATTCCATACGCTAGTTTGCTTGCACCTAACCAAGTTCGATATCATGCGTATCTACTTGATTTGACTTTATTTCTAATCAGTTGTACTTATTTAACAATTTATCAGTTTTCGCTTTTGTTGTCCGTTTATGTTAAGCATTTACTCTACTCTCTGATTTATATTTAATTGAAGTTTTCCAGGCATTCTACTAGATAAGCAAGTAGATAAATGTATTCGATTTTTGTTTCTGGTTCAAATTCCATGTCGTAATGAATTGAGCTCTGAGTCATTAGCAATTATGCAGTTATGGGAATTGGTCACTTTGGCTCGTGCCATATTTACTATCAGGACACTAAAGAGTAACCAATGAGTCAGCTTTATGAGTGGTATAGCCCTATCTATATTATCTGTCTTTTATAACACAATTTTTTGTCATCAGGAGATTTGACATGTATCACATTGTTGTTAAATGAAAAATGAGTTCCCTAATTACCAAACAAGAAATTGGGTTAACAATAAATATACGTATGTACGTACATATACATATATAAGCGTATATATGTATGTGAAGGCTACTTACTCTAAGTCTCTTGATAAAAGACAGAAACATTTATTACAGCGCTTACGAATTCACACATACATACATATACATACATACATATATACTTGTTCATATCTATATGGCGCGTTACTATTGTAAATCTTATCGGTTTGCAATATTTGTAATATATAAATTTATATATATACCAACAGTACACACACACACACCCATGTGTATCTCAAATTGTTATGTAAATATTCAAATCGGTTTCGTCAAAACTCATAAAAACTGTAAATGTCGACCCTAACGACCCCCGTCAAATGATCATATAACTATTCTATTTATATATTTATACGATATGGACACACTATATATAGAGACGATATATTTATATTTGTTTAATTTATTTAACTGATTATATAATACACATTTGCTATTGACTTTATACCTGACCCTAGTTTTGATTTGCTCAATTAGTTTTTATATTCTAGATCTGTTTTCTATATTTTCTCAGTTTTTCACAGGTTTTCTTTTCTCATCTCTATCAGCATTTAAGATTTGATTAGATAAGCCCCCTACACTCTCTTTTCTTTTGAATTCCGTCAAATACTTGAGTTCAAAATTTAGCTAATAGGTAGTACAAATAATAGCAGGTGTATCAATGGGTATTATGTTTATCGCTTATAACAAATTGAGCTGTAGTAGCCAGACTAATATAATACTAATTGTGCTGGCACTGATTGCAGATATCAAGCATTTATTCCAAAGAAATATTTCACATCTGATGGAAAACCCAAGGGTTTACAGTTCAAGAGTGTTTTCAGAGCTACAGAATAATTAGGTAGGTATTATCGGAGTATTTAACTAGCTTAGGACCATTAAATTCAGAATAAAATAAAACAAAACGTTTGAATTGATATGGTATATTAACCACACAATATCCCGCTCACAGGGTGCTTCTTGACAACAGAAAACCCCATTATTTTTTGTCATAAATGTAATTTTAACAAATACAATGAACTGAAGCAAATGTTTCGAGCTATATTAGAAAATTATTTTAACATATGAAAGAGCACTGAAGCAGGAGAAAATAGGTGCCCACAAGGTGTTAGCTAGAGGAAATGCGGAGTGTACATATAACAATAAGTGATCACAGGATATTCCATAAAAAAAATTATTAAAATTGTATCCAATCCAAAATAAATAAATATATTCTGTTTGGTAGTAAGGAATATTTGCATTATGCATGTTATTTTATTATGAGCGTTAACTCAAAGGCATATCAACTGGTTCAAGTGTGAAAGGTGCCTAACTCCATATTTTTAAATTATATGTTCGAATTAAGAGTGAAACAGGGTGTTTTCTAAACGGGCTATTAACATTATAGTTATTATTATTTCGTAGTTAATTTCACAAATGATTACACATACATACATTAGTACATGAATATGTATATATGGAAAAATAAATATGTTTTCAGCTAGATGCCACGGAATGTCTGTCTGCTGTTTTGGTTATCGAAACATGCATCAAGGCGTGACTGGAAGTGGACTGGCACAAGAACGATCGAAACATAATGGTAGGTTGTAAACTGATAAAACACAATAGAGTGCAAACAAAGTAGTCATATGGCTTAATAGGCTTTTAATGAGCCACACTGTTGCAGCAGTTGGCAAACGAATGATTTTAACAGGGCATTCGAATCGAACTTGAAAGTAATATAATGTTTAAGTACTATTTGGACTGGATTGTTAAGAATATAAATATGTATATTTTAGAGTTTAACTCAATATTAATTTAGGAACTAAGCCGACTACAAGGTGTTTTAGGGACACCAAAATACTTAGACTATTTTATTCAAATCTAAATTTTTAGGTACTTCTTAGGTAAAGTCACACAAGTGCATACTGAACCAGAGCGTCGAATAGCTGATTTGGCAATTTGCTGACGTCATATGAAAGTAACTTTTCATTTTTATTGGAATACTCTTTCAGGGGCTAACGATTATAAAATACGTTTATAACATAATAAATGTGTCACAGGGTTATCTTAATTCATAGATTTATAATGATTATCAAATGACGTACGGGGTACTTCACTATTATCCACAAGCATAATTAATAAGTAATATAGTATTTTAAAATATTATATATTATATTTTATTTCCGACTTACCTCTCCTGAAAAATCCGAATTTCGCACTATGTTTCACATTATCGAATTGAATGTCGATTTTCTTGATTGTCTTGTATTGCTCGTGGGGGAAAATGGAGCTAGCGGTGCTATCGCTGCTATGGCTGGTGGAGCTGCTTGTATTTTGGCTCCCTGGCGTGGCAGCTGGTGCGAGAGCTGCAGCAGAGCCCAGGGGTGTTCCATAGACGGAAGAGCTGCAGGAGAGCGCAACGTTTTCCGCCTCAGCTAGAGGCGCTTCGTGAGCCTCTGTTGTTCTCGTCGCCGCCGTTGTTGTTGTTGTTTTTGTTGTTGACGGTTGGATGTGCAATGTTAAATGTGGCGGCCGCTTCGAGGTCAACCTCTTGGCGGGCACAGGTGTGGTTGGACGGGCTGCTCTTTGCTGCTGTTTGCTATCAGTCGCTGTTGCAATGTCTATGTCGGAGGCGGCTTTTAGATTGTTTAGCCCAATGACGTCACCGGCAGCGCTGCCCGTGACCGTTGGCGAAACGGCACTCGCCAAACTCCAGCTGGACATGTTGATAAAATTCGTGCAGTTGTTTTTGTTGTTGTAGTTCTGGTTGTTGGTTTTGCTGTTGTAGTTGTTGGATTTGTGTTTCTTTTGTTTTTTTGTTCCTCGACCTTTGATCTGTTCGCTTTATTCATCAAATGACTTTTTACTTTAAAATATTACTAGCTTATTTGCTTTGTCTTTAGCACACGCCGCGTCGAAAGCACGTCAAAACTTGTGATTACAAAAACTCTAATTCCCTGAGCATTCGCTTCTAATCCCTTTTGCTGTATCTCTGACTCTTTCTCGCTTGACGGTCGTGCCTACAGAGGTGCGACGAAAAGAGAAAAACATTTGCATAAATAAAATTTTTAGGCCGAAAAAATACTAATAAACACAAGACTCGAATGTTTGCTAAACGCGTTGATGAGTTCTGTCTGTTTATTTGTTTTCGTGTAGCTTTTTTCCTCTTCTTTCGTCTACATACATGTATGTATGTATGTATGTAGAAAACGGAATGAGCAGCACGCTCTTAAAAGTTGTGCCGTATATGTATGTGTGCATATGTGTTTGCGTGCGTGTGTATGTGAGTGGGTGTGAGAGTTCATTAGCTTTTTAGCTGATTGCTTGCGGAGGCGGGGGATGGGTCTGATGCACTGTTGCTAATCAGAACTTGCCACAAGGCATGCGAGCAAAAAATAGCACACATAGAGAGCATAAACGGTTAATTGTTGTTATTGTTGTTTGTATACTTTTCGATTTCATTGACAGCTGCTGGCTGTCTTGCTGCTGCTATTATTGATGGTGTCTTTGTCTTACACGTGTCGACAGATGCTCGCAAATTCTTGCTGCTTTGCTTTTAATTGAAAGTTCGCTCAGAGAGCGCCTACTTAACTTCAATCCTATTTAGTGCACTAAGTAACAAAGTCTAATTAGTGCAAAGTCTACTTAAGTCTCCTTCACTCTCCCGCTTTGTCTCTCCCTCTCTCTTTTTATCTGTTGCTCACTGATGCTTTTCGTAAACAAACGCGCTCATCGCATAGCCCATGCAAATGCATTTAAGGCAGGCAAATGAATATTTATTTGTACGAGAGTTTGTGTGTGTTGTGTGTTTGTACATGCATGCAGTTAAATAAATACATATAAATATACATCTATCCATATGTATGTATATAGTAAGTATTTTATTTGCGCGTCTTCTGCCTTTGTTAACAGGGGCACACAATATTACATATAAAATAATAAAAGTATATACAATTTGTATTACTTGATTTGTATTCTTTCTTGTTACCGCGCTTTTCGTCTTAGGTTTAATTACTGTTAATTGCTGGATCTTTGTTTAACTTTTTTTTCGGTTACGCTTTAAACACACTTTCGCTCTCGATTTTTTTCGCACTGCTGAGCGCCAAAAAAGCCAGCTGATTACCACATACATATATTAATTTATATACGTTGTGTGTGTGCGTATGCGTGAGTGCGTTTGTGTTGGTGAGTCTTCCTGTTTTATTTTTCGGCCTATTCAGATAGTCTATAATTCAATTGGCAACACTACCGCAACACACATACTCACACGCACAAACTAGTTCTTATTAGAACTAACGCCTAATATTGTGTTAAATGCGAACGTGTTGCTTGGGCTCTTTTGCGGCTTATCGCAGGTTTTAATAAAAATTGTTGCACTGAACGTCAATGTAAACCACAAAATATTATTTTCGATTGATTGGTCAAAAGTTACTGATTAGAGTAACAACGTTCTTAATGTTGTTATTGTTGTTGCTGTTGTTGTAACACAATCGCTGCTGATATGACACCAACACATGCACACAGATACACAAAGGCACACACACATGCATGCATACATATGCACATATGCACATGCACACAGGTCGTGGCCTCTTATTGGACATTTACACCCGCACACACAAACTGCATTATTTTTTAATACATAATTCGTATGATGAACTATTTACTCGAGTTTCAGCGTTTCACTTATAATTATCGCCTTTTGTAAATATTCGTTAAATTTTTCAATTGTATTCAACAGGCGACGAACGATCCTCAGCGACCGTTAACATGGCACAGACTGTTTTCATCAACGAAATACTGTAAATTATATTCTGCTTGTTGCTGCCCATTATCTCACACTTGCTTGCGCTCTCTTGCTGCCCTGCTTAGCTCTGGTGCGCTCTCTGTCTCTCTCTCCGTCTGTCTCTCTCACTGCTGCTTGACAGTGACGCGCCTAATGCGCTTATCAGCTGTTTTCGACCCCTCTCAAAGCGTAACGGACAACGCCACTGGCTTTATTTATGAATTTATATTCGTTGCCCTAGCGGGGGGTGTCTTTTCCAGCCAGTGTTCCGTGCATTTATTGTTTTTGTTGCTGTTGGTGATTTTTTTTTTTTTTGTGTACGACGCATTAGTTTTCTCATTCTGTGCTGAATCTTTTGTGGTAGGCACATAATGAACTGAACTCCTTTGTCCCCTTGTACGTGCTGTGGCAGCAAAACAGAGTACGAAAAACGAGTTTGACCAGTTATGAGAGTTGGAGCGAGAATATGTAAAATTGCATGAAGTCGAATTAAAAACATAACAGCAAACAAACAAATATCAGCTGTTCAGTAAGAGGAACTGATTCTGGCAATATTTTGTGTATCTTATCTAAAGGATGTAAATAAACAAAGTGTTACTCCATAACCTATGTCTTATATTATTTTTATTGAAATTTATAAATGTTGTTTCATATTTTAAAAGATAAGCAGTTAATTATCGAAATACTATTGCCATGCGCCACGCACACTGCGGTCACTCTGATGTTTAACAGTTAGGAAAATCTGTTATCTTGACAGTCAATTCCGAATATCGTATATGGAAATCGTTTCAAGATAAATTATAAATAAAATAAAAAATAAATATACAATTAAACAAATATTAAACAAGGAATAATAGGCATCTAAATTGTTTCTGTATGTCACTTGGTTACATAAATTTAAATTGTGCAGCAACAGTAAAAGCCATCGATATCACTATCGATATACCACGCTGTGTTATCTCTACAGAACAACTATCGCGCTACAGCTGTGCCCTGACAAATTGCTATAAGTTTTTCTATAAAGCCGCAGCCGCCGACGCAAACAGAAGCAAGGAAAAGAGGAAAACGGCTAACAAAGAGCGAAAACGAAGCAATTTTTGTACTTTTTTAAAAATAATAACAACAAAGCCAAAAGATGACTGATTTGCGCAATGAGATGGACAGCGATCTGGATCAGAACTACTCACTGAACAGCAATGCGGATCCAAAGAATATGCAGGAGCTAACAATTTACGTGAGTAATGAGAATGAAATAAGAGACACTTCACAGTAACTACAACAAACAAAACGATCCAACTACCTACTCCCACTTTTCACCTCCCCCCCTCCTCCTGTCACTCACACTCTTTCTTTTCCTTGCTGTGTACCTCTTATCTATCTTAGGTACAAAATCTGTTGCAGAATGTGCAGGACAAATTTCAAACGATGTCAGATCAGATAATCACACGTATCGATGACATGGGCAATAGGATCGATGATCTGGAAAAGAGTATTGCGGATCTGATGAATCAGGCGGGTGTCGAGGGAACGGCACCGGAGAAATGAGTGAATCCAAGATATCAGTGCCCAGTGCCACGCCCACAATCAAGGCATGCAGCACCACAATCACATATACATCGAACATCTACACAACATACTACATATACACACGTACACATCTACTCTCACACTTTTGTAACAATTCCAAAATCTCACATTCATTCACAACCCATGCAATTGCTCCCCAAATGTATCCAAGCCACATTTTGCTCATTTCCTATTTTTTGCATAGTTTTAAGTTGATGTCAAAATTTAAGTTAAGTGCATTTTGGAAAATTTAATTGTTAGGCAATCATTTGAAATTTTTGCCGGTACACGTTTTTTTATTATAATTAAAAATCAAGAATTGTACACACCAAAAATGAGAAAAACACCATCAATGCATGTCAAACTGTTCAGATCTTAGGCACGCTTCGATTCAACAACTGTCACCAGGCGACGCCCGCCTCCTCCACCCTCAGTTGCTATGCCAGCGTCTCGTTCTGTGCGTTGTTTACGGAGTGCCACCTGAAACGGGACAAGTGGACGAGGAAGAGTTGAGAAAGGGGAGCGGAAAGGTGAAAAAGAAAAAAAAATGCAAAAGGTTCCACCTGATTAGATATACATCATTATTATTGCTAAAGCCTTGCAGAAGGATAGTTCAACTTGTTTATGCAATATGTAACATTTAGAGGGAGATAACTTCAAAGACCTAACCATGAAGTTGGATAGATTGTTTTGGATCTGTAGATGAGCTTTATAAAGCATTTTATGACAGTCCTTTTATCGTCTATAATGATCTGTTCTGACTACGAAACATATAAGAAACGCTTTGATGAGATCGGCTATGTCAATATATCTTTTATGGGACATGTATTATCTTCACATAGATACAATACTAAGCTCTTTCTAAAATATTCTTCTGCAAGCGTATTTGAACTTCGGCTACCCGAAGATACTATGTATGGCTGCCCTCGTTCGATTATTATTGTTTATTTGGGATAAATAATGAGAGGCGTAGCGTGGTAGTCTGGTAGTCAAGAGAGGGCGAGTTATATGCAAATGAGTTCTAGTCTCGGAATTCTAGGTTTCTAGTTGTGTGGCACATGGAATTGCTTTTGCAATCTTACATGCGTGGCTGCCACGGCCTTAAAAGGATGTTTGACTGGCTGTCGCACCACTGGCTTCAATGGAGTTGCTGTTGAACTGGCTGAATCCTTGTTTCTGGCCTTGGCACCAAAGACATTCTCGTGTGGCATTCCCTGTTCGCCCTCGTCGTCTGAAACGCTGCCGGAGGCCTCTTCCTCTTCATCCTCCTCCTCGACGCTTTGTTCGCTCTCCTAGATGGTCGATGTATTAGATAGATATTAGTATTTATTTTTGCTATTTATTAAAAAAGTCTCACCTCCTCCTCTTCCTCATCGTCATCATCCTCATCCAGCTCGCTGTCATCCTCTTCGCTCTGCTCCGGCTTACCAGATCGCGGTATTCCAGCTCCAGTCAAATTCTTTGTACTCTTCGATAGCTTCTGCTGTCTTTTGAGTGGGCTCAGATGATTGTGATCCAAACTGTCCATAGATTGGGAGCGCAAACCTTTTTTGAGAGCCGATTTGCGAGTGACGACGGGTTCCTCCTTTGTTTTCATTAGCTTTTGAAATTGCAGGAAATCGTCACGCTCATCGATGTTGCACACATCATAGTAGCTGGCGCTGAGCACCTCCAGAGCCTTGGTGTGCTGTTTCATGGCTATCAATATAAAGTCGCTCAGCACTTGCTTCACATCCCGCAGCTTGCGCTGCTCAAAGCCGCTGATGATCTCGTCGATGTCCTTGTTGGTGCGCTGAACTTCCAATTTGGTCTTGAAGAGCTCGGAATCAGCGGCGGTCTAAGGGATTAGGTTATAGTTGTGGAGAGTAGATAAAGTCTTGCAATATCTTACATTGTTTGCTGCAAATTTGGATTTCAGCTCCAGCATCTGACGCTGGCTGAGCACCTCCTTGTCCCTTGCGATGACAGCAAGACGCAGATTATCCCTAGTGGACTTGCACAGCTGCTCAAAGTGCGCCAGCTCGTTAACTATCTGGAGTATACAAATATATTCATTTTAGTTCTCTTATACTTATTTAACAACCCCTACCTTCAGCTCCAACCTCTTCACATTAATATCCATATAATCTCCTGTTATGGTCAAAGCGTTGGTTAAGCTCTTAAGTCCATTGCACAAACTCTCATTGATTTCCTCCTCATCTGCATAGTTCTTAATGTGCTTAGCCAACTCATCGTGTGCATCGCGATATCTATTAAATATACATATGTATCATAGATATTTATATTAATATGTACATTTTTTACTTAGCCATTTTTCGTGTTAGCATCGAAAAAGCTGAACACATTTCCATTAAATGGCGTTCTGTCAAATTTATGCGTTCATTGATGATTTTAATGCGATCATCTTTGCTGGTTAGAAAAGAAAATTTTCCGCGACGAAACATCTTTAATCCCTTCTTTATCTTTTATAAACAAATAAAATCTTAAATAATGCAAACACAAAATCAAAACAAAACTGTTACCAGGACAACGCAGGGTTGCTTTATTTTTTTGAAATATCGCTCATGTCAAACGAGTGTTGTGCTTTAATAATAATAGTTTAAGTTAAAGTGAAAAGTTACGCAAATAAAATAAATTACATAGCTAGCTTATTCTGTATATACAATTTGGGCCTCACAACTCAACTCTTCCATTATTCAATTCAAATTTAGCGGCAATCGGTAAGTTTACATATCGATAGCATACTTCAATCGATATTATGTTTCTATATATCGCATGTGACGCAGTAGTGTTACTTAAGAGCCAAGAGATGGCGCCACTCATATGTATATGTTACCTTTCACTATAGAGGGCGTTTCAATTGTAACGTCTCAAATCAAACACATTGTAAGGCTTGTGCCTGTTTCTTAAATATTCTCCGTAAGTATAGCATCAATACTAAACAGTGTCAAGGTCAAGAGCATGTGTGGCTCATGACAATAAGTGCGTGGGCGATCGCAGCAGCTATGGAAATGTTGCTATATTTATAAATACAATTCATGTCAAAAAGTTTTACTCATCTTCGCAGTGAGATTTTGTATAAGAGAAAGAAATGAAAAGAAGGAACAAGGGAAAGAGAACGATAGCGCGATAGTGCAGATAAAGTTAGAAGCTTCGAAATTTAATTAAATCGGGATGATTCAGTTTGATCTGCTGAACACCGACCTTGAGGCAAGCTTTTTTTTTTTTTTTTTGAATATAAACATCTGCAACCGCAAGAATGTTGCTGCAACAGCTTGTAAAAATTCCCAACCAAAAATCGTAGTCGTAATTAATTTTATGAATTGAAATGCTTTTCGCACTTAAGGCGATGCATTGTCGAACCGGTATAAAATAAAGCACAGTAAAATGTGCAGTTAAACTGTGAATCCGGTTGGGGAGAGTACACATACATACAAGCACACATGTACTTATGGTTGGGTGTGTATGTGTGTGTGTGCGCGTGTGTGTGACAAGAATAAAATGTGAAGAGTCCGCGATTTGTGATCCCAATCTGTGCGACACAATACGACAAGAATAAAACAGTTGGACTGAGCCGAGGGCGTAAAAGCTGGTCTTTGTCATACCCTATGTTGTGAACGATATCGGCTATGTTGCTTAACATACAATTTTGCTGGAATTTTGGTAATTATTAAAGTTTACCATATATTACAGGGTATATAATTTTGTAATTCTGTAAACTAATGTTCTTAAACTAAAAGACACTACGATTAATTGATTTTAATTTTTACAAATATATATCATAGAATTTTACTCAGCAATATATATGGGGTATTTGTTAGTGGAATATTTTCAGATATTCCTTCTTCTTATTGGAACGTCGTAGAGAACGTTGCTTGGCACGCGTTGCTCGTCGCTGTCGGCGATTCGCCATGAATTCTTAAAGCGAAATAAACTTCAAGCCTTGGTCAAGGGCTCGCTTCGGTTGTGGTGGTTCGTTTCGTAGTCAAAGTGCAGCCAAGAGCCATTCACTTTTTAAGGCACTGTTCGTGCCGTTGCATGCGTTCCAGTTCTTGATCGTACATACGCACACGCTCTCTCTTTCGCTGTGTCTCTCTCATCTGCTGTTTCTCTGTCTCTCTCCCGCTTTGGCTGTTCTTTGTGTTTGGTTAGCTGCGTGCCTTGGTATAAATTAAGCCAAATTTGTACGCAGCGTTTAGTCCGAAATCGTATACAAAAGTCAACAGTCGCGAGACCTCAGCGATCGCGCGTGCAACAACAACGTCCACAACATCGAAAGCAACAACAGACTAATATAACCGTAAATAAATTTGCAAATATTTGCCTACATATACCTATGTATGTAGGTGCAAATAAGCTTGTGTTATTTCCGTTTGATGTTTATAAACACAAGAAAAATTTGTTTAAAGAAATTGAATATACAAAAGCAACAAAATGAATTTCTTGCGCAAAAAAGTGAAATTTATTTATGCAAAAAAAAACCTTAGTGTCTTAAAATAAATATTAAAATTGTTTATGTGTTCTAAACAAATCTAAAACGCGTGCGAGTTATAAACATAAATATTTCCTTATTACCAAATTTAGAATTTCAATTTGATTTTTGTTAATATCAAATTTTGTATCAGCCATGTTAAAGCTATACAAATTAAATTTCAATATAATTATATATATTTTTTTAAATATAACTAAACCTTAATGAAAAATTATAGAGCAAAAATGGATTATTATATTAAAACTATTGAAATAATTAAAAAGTACAATTATATAAAACTTATTAAAAGAGGCTATAATATGTAAATAACTTATTATCATGAGAAAAATATAAAAAATTAAAAAAAAATATTATTCAACAAAAAATGTACGTTCTATTTATAGAATATATCTGAATATTTGCAAAAATTCATTAATTACTTTTTTGGTCATATATGAAATTATCTATAATAATCTACATACATATTATAATAAAAAAAAAATTTTAAGATAGAAATTCAAGTATAAATAGTATTAATGATAATGGCTTATCGGAGCTGTTAATTGCTAATTGATTTTGTAATCATTGTGTTATAATTCATAAACTTTAATCGTGATTTTCAATGTGAGCAACGATCAGTCGTGACTTTTCAACTACGCTTAGCAAATTATCCAGAAACACTCAATCATAAGCAATGCAATTATATAGTCGATCTTTACATGAGTATCTTTACTGTAATTAAATTAGCTGGAATTAAACTGGGAACTAGCCGCTTTTTGCCACTAAGCCCAAAGATCAATCAGTTAGCTTACATAAATATTATTGATAACAGCTGCTTTGATATTTGAAGCGAGTGATTCATCCAAAGCAGTTTTCCACTGTTTACAAAATCAGCCAGCATTGACCCTGAACTCGGTAGGCAGTCAAGCAACAACAAGTGATTATTTTGCCAACTAGCTGATTGACATAATTTCGCTCTCTCTCTCTCTTCATCTCTCCCGCTCTCTGAAAAGCAAAGCAAAAATACGAAAACTAAGCAAAAGGCAAAATTCAAATAAAAATGTATTAAACGTGCAACTAGCGAAGCACAAATGACAATTGATTAGCCCGCTTACGAAAAAGGGGGCACATGCAACGAATACTATAAAAAAGAGAAGAGACAACAGACAACAAAATATACATATGCAATAAAAAATTGCGCATTCGCCGCGTTTGCCGCCATGCATTGCCCTACACTGGTGGCCAGCAGAACAAGTCCAGCTATGCTATAGACTTGTTGTAAAGCCTTACAATGATAATCTAGACGTGATTTTGAAAGACCTTATAATAATAACTATTTGTATATATCAAATACTGTAAAGCTTTTCTAAATTTCAGATAACAAGCTTGGCTTCACATATTTTCTGTTAAAAAGCATTTTTCGGTCTATTTAATTTTATAAATTCAATATTTCTTGATGAAATCAACTAGAATACAGTATCATTTATTTATGGAATACTGATCTTCCGTCTTTACGATCCAATTTTAATCATATCCACTGTTCTCCACCTGTCTATATAATTTATTGTGCACTTTTCTCAAACGTAAGCAAAACTTCTTCTAGTTAAAAACTATATTCTATGTGTCTGCCTTCTTATCTTCTTCCCACTTCTCATACACTCTATGACCCCCATACCTTACTACACTCAGACAGCTTTAGTTTTACTTTAATGACTTTGTCGTCGCCATTTAATCATATTAATAGTGCTCACAGCTCAACTAATTGAGTGTGAGTGGGTTTTGCTTTGCTTTGAGTGCGGAGGGTATATATGATTCTCACTAGTATTCGCTGTGTTCTCCACACGATTCTCACCTACACTCATTGTGTGTCGCTCAATCTGTTGCGCTCGTTTCACTCAGTGATTTCTGCTCGTTCATTCTGTTTATTTGCCGTTTCCTCGACGCATTTCAGCGCATTTGACTATTGTTTGTCTTACGAAACAGAACCAAATCCGGCAACCGGTGCCAGAACAATTCAAATCGACAATCCTAAGCAAATCAAAACAGATCTTAACAAAGGTGCTTAAAAAATAAAACAATAAAAACATTTGTTAAACTCAAACAAAAAACAAAAAAAATCGAACACAAATAAAGATCGTGGGAAAATAAATATGAAGCTGCTGTGCGGTGTTCTACTGATCGCGCTGGCTGTCAGCGACGTTTGGACTTTGCCAGGTAAGTTCTAGACTTACAATAAATAAAGAAACAATACTGAAATGTTAAATAATATATACAATATGTGTATATATAAACAAAACCCGGTTTCAAGTTGTCTAAGCAGACAGAAACTTTATATATTTATATTTTATATATAAATAAATATATGCTCATTTTTTATATTTCCATCAACGATTGATAATGTTGTTGAAGAACTTTTGAACCCACAACTGGCTTTTGTTAATGCAAATTGATAAGCTACGCAGAGAGAACAAAAAAATGATTTTAATTTCTAGAAGAAACGATGGAAAAAGTTTCCCTGTTTTTATTTCAGTTTTATTTCTGTCTAGATGAGTTTTAATTAAATGAAGAATAAAGAAATGCATTTATTTAACAACTCTTGAACGATAATGTAAAAAAATTTAATTTCAAATAAGAATTTTTAACTGAATTTATTTTTGAGCAAAAAACTTGAAGCTCTAGATATTTTCTCCGACTGCCGCAAATATATTCTTGGAATTACGGCATTGTATTTGTAATTTGTAATGTAATAATGATGCTCGCGAATTTTGATAAGAACGTCGTTGCTAGCAAACACTTGACAATCGACAAAATGCATCCTGCAGATTCAAGATGAAAGATGCAAGATACAAGATGAAAGCTAGCAGCACTCGCACTCGCAGTCGCAGTCGCAGTCGCAGCTGCCTCATCAGCGTCGTTGTCGTGGCTGCTGCCACTTGAATGCATAAATTGCAGCAGCTAAAGTTGAAGTTGCTGAATCGGTTGCAGTCAGGGGTAGAG